CCTTAACATTTGTACCCCCATAATATGCTGGAAAAAGAAAGAAAGAAAGAGAGAGAGAAAAAAAGAGAGAGAGAAGAGAGAAAGAGAGAAGGAGATAGAGAGAAAAAGAAGAGAGAAAGAGAGAGAGAGAAAAAGAAGAGAGAAAGAGGAGAGAGAGAAAGAGAAGAGAGAAATAGAGAAAGAAAGAGAGAGAAAGAGAGAGAGACGAGAGAGAGAGAGAAGAGAGAAATAGAGAAAGAGAGAGAGAGAAGGGGAGAGACAGAGGGGGGAGAGAGAGAAAGAGAGGGAAAGAAAAGAAAAAAAAGAGAAGAAAAGAGAAAAGAAAGAAAAGAACAGAACACTTTTGCCAGTGGCGTGGGGTTGGCCAGCTCTGATTGGGCGGTGGCAGCGGTTGTAGGTAAAACTTGTGATCCGAACATCATAGCAGGCTGCCTGGTTGCACTGGGTTTGGGAGACAGCGTCAGCTGTTTGGTATGAGCTGCCGGCTGTCCTCCTGTGGCTCGTGGTGGTAGGCTGCGGTTTGGAAGAATTTCACGTCACAGTTCCTGTCTTAAGGCAAATCATGCCTGAGAACTTCCCTCTTATGGTCCTCTCCTGCCTCCGTTTTGCCAGGGTTTGCTCTGTTTGGAATCTGACACCTTTCACAGTGACAGGTACCAACCGGGATGCAGACTCCCTCCAGGTTAAACCCCTCCTTCGTGTGGACTAATCTGGCAGGGATGTTTACAGCTCAGCATGCAAAATAAATTCCAACTATTTTTTAACCAAAAACAAATTAGGGCCGGGCGCGGTGGCTCACGCCTGTCATCCTAGCACTCGGGGAGGCCGAGGCGGGAGGATCACTCAAGGTCAGGAGTTCGAAACCAGCCTGAGCATGAGCGAGACCCCATCTCTGCTAAAAATAGAAAAGAAATTAATTGGCCAACTAAAAGTATACATAGAAAAAATGAGCCGGGCGTGGTGGCGCATGCCTGTACTCCCAGCTACTTGGGAGGCTGAGACAGGAGGATTCTTGAGCCCAGGAGTTTGAGGTTGCTGTGAGCGAGGCTGACGCCACGGCACTCACTCTAGCCTGGGCAACAAAGCAAGACTCTGTCTCAAAAAAAACAAAAACAGAACCTTCTGGAATGGAGGGAAGATCTCACAGCACGTGTGGAAAGGCAGGTGCAGGTATTAATGGACTGTGAGATGCTGAGCATTGGCATAACTAGGGAGTCACTCGGAAAGAGGAGGGTCGAACATGCAGGACGCGGGCCTTATTTCTTAAGGTTTCACCAGCGAAATAGTATTTATGAGATGAAAATATTTGGCGCTCTAAAACTAATGCTAAACGCGATTGATCGGCTGTCACAGCGATTTGCTGCTGCTGATGTGGCCACCGTCAACTCTGTTACACTGAGAATTCTTAAGTAAGTGGGTTCCTTACACCTTCTGTTTGTTCCTCCAGGACACTGTCATTTACGATCGGCTGGCAGAGACTTCGAAGTACAAGGAAACTACCCTCAAACATTTGGAGCAGTTTGCTACAGAAGGTGAGTGCAACAGGACAACAAAGCATGATCGAAACAAGAAGAAATGAACTTCCGACTCCTCGCAGGATTACTATTACCGTTTTGCTTTAGAGATCTCTGGAAGCAAGATACCAATTAGCATTGATAATTTAAATCATACTGTGTGCTCTTCCCACTTAGCGTTTTTATTTCCCTTTTCTCAGACAGGAGTTTTAAAAAACTTGTTCCCTGTGCGACAGGTGCCAGGGGCCTATAAATCTGTTCTGCTTTTTGGAACGGTTGCGATGTACGGCTCAGGCATGTTGCCTTGTATCGCGAGCAGTTTTCCGTCAGGAAAAGAGGGAAGGGTCGGAGAACTCTGAGGTATTGCCATCTGAATCAAAAAGAGGAGAAATAAATCTAAAAGCTGTCAGCGCAGTGATGCAAAATGTAATTTCAACTCAGGACTTTTGATTAAAAACGTACTTAACTAGTAAAGTAGTTTGTCCTGGCCCGTTTACACGGATGGCGGGACTGAAAACCAAAACACAAACGCAGAACACAAGTCAACGCAGTCGACACACGTAACACAACGGTTTGACTCGAACGTACTAACACACGGGTCGGTTTTACTTTTTTATACTCTAAAGACTTAAAGTTAGTTCCTTTGTACGCAACCAGCGCAGGCGCGGCGCCGGATAGCGCATAAATTCCGTGAACAGCGAGCTTAGGGAAGCAGATATCCCCTGACCTCAGAATTTCAAGTGGTCGTCTAGGGACTAGCGTAGATAAAGGACGAGATTAGCAAGGATGGGCAAGTGAGCACAGGGGCATTTCTCCCCCAGCTTCTCTTAGGGTGGCCCGAGATCTTCGGCTGAACCTCGATGGCTGTGCCTGCGCTTAGGTGCCTCCTTGAGGGGTCTTACCCGTCATTGACTAACCAGCCTATCTTATGGGTGTACGCAGCAATCCAGGAACAACGTGTTTATCGTGTGTGCTCCAGACCCCAGTGCGGTGGATGGGGCAGTACAAGAATCCACATTTATTCAACAATAGTTAAGTCTTCTTCTGGAACATCATCCTCACTCTCCAAACCCGAATCCCCATCCTGAATGTCTTGCGACTCTGTTTCCTTTAGAACCACTGCCCCGATTCCCTCCTACTGGAGCACTAGAGCTCTCACGGGGCGGATGAGAAGGCTGCTCGTGTTCTTTCCGCTCTCGACGACACCGCATCGGTTGTGCAGATGCGCTGGCCATCAGCCCACGCCCATCGACTAGGGCTGATTTTCATAGCCACCCACGACCTAGCGTTTTCATAGCACCGATCACAGGCCTGTTTCATAGCCACGCCCGTGCACTGGGGCTTATTTCGGGAGTACGCGGTTCTATGGCGACCATGCTTAGAAATCTTGCTGGGGCTTATTTTATGGGTTGGTCGTGTATTTTCCGGGGTACGCGCTTTCTATGGGCAAAAAAGACAAACATGCTTAGCAAACCTGCTGGGCTATTTTATGGGTGGGTTATTTTCGGGGACACACGCGTAGGAGATTTCAAGCAAAGGAAGTAGCCTAATGTGACTCTAGGATTCAGGAAACGTTCTGTACGGCCATTGCAGCATGATCAGAAGCTGCGAGTTATAAGGGTGCAAGTTTCAAAGCGTGGGGAAGAGTAAAATCTACACTTTCCTACGCTTCATAGCCTTTTGCCACTCATCAGCACTTTGGCAACGATGAGTGGGCCTTTCAAACGAGTTTGTTAGATAAGGACGCAGACTGTGACCTCGGGGAGAGTCTTTGGTGTGTTGAGGAATGTACCCTGCTTTTTCCAGGGCTGTAGACGTTTGTTCTTCGCGTGGGCCTGAGACTTCCTCGGAGAGCGATTTTCAGGAGTGCGCGGCGTGTACCACACCGGGCGTCTACATCCGTCGCAGAACAGGCTGCTCAAGCTGGAAGAGAGTTACGAGTTAATCGAAAAGGTATGTTGGATGGCTCCTTTGATCCTGCAGAAAGTTTGGTCCCAGAAAGTTCGGTCTTGCTCGAGGGACCGGTGGGACACAAAAAATCAAAATATCCTGACGCAGCCTTCCCGTTGGTCTCCCCTTCTTGTCCATGAGCTGGACAAATCTTAGTGCAGGTTAAAATGTTGCTGAAGAGTCTTTGGGGTTCGGTGTTGCTCTGCACAAATAAATCTGCACGCTCGTTCACAATGTCAGGTCAAGGTTTGGCCGATCTGGCGATCTCTTTGCCCAAATGTATTCTCGTTACTTCCTGCGTCAACTGAGGATACTGAAACGTGCCCGTGCAAACACGTGCCACACTTACACCACCATACCCCTACGTGTGCACTGAGAGTTAGTAAATGTGTGCATTGTAAGATATAAAATAATGTAATATATACAGCTTTTGTGAATCTGCAACTGGATAATCGATAATGTATATAAGTGAATAGTCCAGTGCTTACACCCAGCATTGTGCCAAGCATATCATTTGTCATTTCTGTCACAGCTATAAATACTCCTCCTTTTACAGATAAACCGAGACTACTCAGCCAGCAAGTGATGGATACATTATAATCATGCTATGGATACCATTATAATGATGCTATTATGCTATTGGATACATTATAATTATGCATTATGAATACAAGAAATAGTTTGTTCTTAATTTTAAGAATGGCAGATATTTTTATAGGTTATATGATTGTAATATTTTATATTTATATAATTTAATTATTATATATTATAAATAATTATGTATAGGGGGAGATAGCTAGGTATCCATCTACATATCATATACTACATATATATATATATATAGGTATGATGTATATGATCTAGATCCATATAGATCATTTAGTCAGGCATCCTCAAACTGCGGCCCGCAGGGCCACATGCCGCCTGCCTAGGACATTTATCCGGCCGCGGGTGTTTTGCCGCCACTACCTGTCCTGCTTAGCAGCCGACTCATCCAGGCCCACAGTGCGCACTCTCAACGGTCTGAGGGACAGTGAGCTGCCCCCACCCCCATTTAAAAAGTTTGAGGAACTCCTGAAATAGATCATATCATATAGAGATATCCTAGATATCTATCTACATACTATTATATGTAATGATTATCTGATCTAGATCTATATAGATCATATCATATAGAGATATCTAGATATCTATCTACATATATATATGTATGATGTATATGATCTAGATCTATATAGATCATATCATATAGGGATATCTAGATATCATGCAAGTATGATATCATACCTGTATATATAGATACAGCTATGTAGATGCATATCTAGATATTGCCCCCTTATATTTGAACATCATTTGTTATAGTGGCTCAGTCCTGCACCCTTTTTGGAGGGACAACCTTTGGCTCAGTCATGGGGTCATGGCTGGAGGTCATGCTTCCCCACAGCACGGGGCAGATCCTAGCCAGTGGCTGACTGCAGCCACATTTTCTTTTCCTTTTATAAAAGCAATTTTATTGTGTGTCTTTAAGGTATACAGTGTGATGGTATGCGTCAGTGTATATATATAGCAAAGCAGTGACTACGGTGAAATGAAGCAACATTATCGCCCATAGTTGCCCATTCTCCCCCCTCCATGGCGAGAGGAGCCATGACCCACTCATTTAGTGAAAATCCTGAATACGATCCGCTCTTACCGTGTTTCTCTGAAAATAAGACCCACCCATAAAATAAGCTCTAGCAGGATGTCTGAGCATGTGCGCAATAGAAGCCCTACCCTGAAAATCAGCCCTAGTGACGGGCGTGGCTATGAAAATCAGCCCTAGTGATGGGCGTGGCTATGAAAA